ATGTGAGTTTGGGCAGAAACAGTCACCCTTTCTACATTTTTTTCTCCCTTAGTGATCAGATTCTATTAATCACAGTAAACCGAAATTTTACACAGGCCAACAGATTTCAAAGGCCTTGCCAAAAGGACAATTTTGCCATAAGAAATCGCTTCCCCGCCCTTCTAAGTCCTGGAATGAGGCAGTGAATAGTTGCATTGTGCAAATGAAGAGAGCAAAGTAGAAATTCAGAGGCGGTGCTCACTTCAGATTTCCTGCGTGAGCACTCTGAGCCCTGTTTGGACCAAACACCCCACTGATGTAGCTGCCACAACAGAAGCTGCACCCACACCACTGAATTGTAGAGCAGCTCCGCAGAAATCAGGGAACCCTAACGACGATTGTCTAAGAGCGAAACGAGGCCTGAGTAAATGGGAAAACTTCTCCACATTAGCAACAAAGTCAACACAGGCGCTAAACACCTCAACTCGTAAAACAAACACTGACACCAGGTCTGTGGTTCCCAGGGTGGCGCCCTGTTTCCTACCATGCTGGAGGGTTCCTCGGGTCCTGTAGCCCCACTCTCTTCTCGGCTCACGCATCCTCTTCTGCACTAATCTCAGCTGGTCTCGTGGTTGCTCATACAACCCACCTGTCAGTGATTGCAGCAAGGTCTACAACCCTGACCGTCTCCAGCTCTCAGCACCAAGTGGCCAGCTGCTTCCTAGGCATCTAGGCAGATGGCCTCTCGCATGCCAAGTCCAAGCCCCACACGTTCAGGATTCTCTCAGCAGCACCGCCCCTGGACCCCAGAAGCATCCTGGGTCCTGAATTCCCTACCTTGTGAATGTTAGCACCAGCCTCCCAGAAACGTCTTTCTTTTTATTATTATTTTTTTCAATTACAGTTGATGGTCAATATTAGTGTCAGGTGTACAGCATAGTGGTTAGATATGTATATACCTTACAAAGCAACCCCGTTGACTAGCCTCGTCCCCACCGAGCACCAGACAGTTATAACATTATAGGCTATCTTTCTTGTGCTGCACTTTACATCCCCAGGACTATTTTGTAATTGCCAGTTTGTAATTTGTAATCCCATCACCTTTATCCCAAAAACATCTTTAACGTCTCCCTATCCCAACCGCCCATAATGTAGTCATGTCCCAGTGCTCCGAGGGTTCTAGCACCCCCTGCCCCTGCCCTAGTTGAAACCCACCATCTCCCCTGCCTGGAATACCACAAAGGATGTGGATCGGATCACATATTCGAGCGACTTGAAAATATTTCATGCTTGGTTAAGAGCTTGCTCAAGAGTGCGAGTTCTGAGCAATAGAGGTTCGAGTCCTGCCCAAGCTGAGCTGCTGCTGAGCTGCCAAAAGGTGGCAGAATGGCTCAGCAAAAAAAAAAAAAAAAATATATATATATATATATATATATATATATATATATATATATTTCACGGGTCCTCTTTCCCTCCTCAATACAAACTAGAGATAAATAAATAAGATTACTGTACTTTTGCTCAACATGATCTAAGCTTTCTAACAATGCCTGTTGTGTGAGCATGTCAGGAGCCACCTTCAAAGAGTTGTGTCCCCTGTCCTTGGGACTTGCTACATGGTCAGCCGTCCCTGAAGAGGCTGCCCCACTCCTGCATGGCAACAAGGAGGGGAGCGTTCGGACATCACACACCAGGAAGAAACAGGACAAAGTGACAGCTGTGGCCCCTCCCAAAGTGGAGATTCCATGGGTGGACTTATGCCTTGGGGACATCTGCCTGGCCTTCTGGGACAATTGCCCTGTTAGCCAGGCACCCACAAGGTTGCACCCTCTGAGTCATGATTCTGGTACCTGACCTTGCCTCCTGACCTGAGATGACTGGATGAGAATGGAGCCTGAGAAGGTTACGTGAGAGGCATGAGCAGTGTGAGCTGGGGAGTGAATCCTGCGTGGCAGCGGCAGGCGAAGGCCCACGCCCGCTGCGGGGGCCACGGGGCCCCCGTCTCCTGTGCTCTCTGCAGCCTGGTGGCGTGTTCTTCCACGATGTTCACTGGTTTCCTTACAGTGGCTTCGCTTTTGTCTATGATAGTATGTTTCTGGTCCTTGCAACCCCGTTTTGACCTCAAGCTCTGCTCTCTGGGTTTCCCAAAGCCCCTGAGGGGGCTGAGAAGGATTTCATCCCTGTGCCAGGCCCTTCCTCTGGGTGTGGGAACAGGGAGTCCAATTCCTGAACCAAATTCCTTGTTCTCTCCTGAGGACACAAGCTCAACCATTGGGAGCCTAGAGGGCAGAGGTGGCTGCTCGGGCCAGTTTTCCTAGAAAAGATGTGACAGGACACCCTCCTCGGCCAAGTTCAGGCTCCTCGGAGTCCTCCTGCCCAATAGGCCTCGTCCTCAGCCTGATGCTGTTGCTCTGTCAGGCCCATTTGAGCAAAGAACCCTAATGGGTTCAGCCTTAGAGGGAATCCTGCTAAGCCAGTGTGAGAATTTCCCCAACCCCTGACATGTAATTAAGTTCCTCTTCCCCCACCTCTGACATCTAATCAGGTTCTCATTAGCAATTTTCTATCCACTGATCCCCTCACCATACCCACTGGCATGAATCCCTAGCTGCGCGTCTCTGAGCTGAGTTGACTTCTGTACTGAAGTCCCCCTCCCCTACTTCGGTAGCTCAAATAAAATCCCTCTTGCTCTTTTTAACCTGTGTCCAGTGCAGTTTCTCTAACAGATGGAAACGACCTTGCAGGCAGAGTAGTCTGAGGGGCCCTGTAGGGAGGGGACACCCATTCACAGCGTGACGGACGCAGGCCCTCCTGGACCACAACAGTGCAGCTTCTCTGAGAACTCATTTGGATGGGGCCTCACCCTCAGGCTCTGTACTTGGCCCGTTGGGTCCAATTTTAGCAAGAATCCTGCTGGGTCAGTCTCAAGAAAACCCTTCACCTTTGATATCTGATCCATTTCCTCATGTCCCACCTGTCAGTCACCTGAACCCAAATCCCTCTTCCCCCTGAGGTTTCCTCTTACAAATTTTCTATCCGCTGACCCCCACCTTGGCTATAAATTTCCACTTTTCCTTGTATCCAGAGCTGAGCCCACTCTCTGCCCTACTGTCAGACCCCACTGTAGTTATTTCCCTGGATAAAATCCACCTTCCCCACTTTAATAAGAGTCAGGAAGGATTTTTTTTCTCCAACAACTGCTTGCCTTCTGTGAGAATATCCAAGGTCTAGGGCTGCCTCTACAGTATTATTCCATAATCAGAACTTGGGAAATATAGATTTAGAAAAAAAAGAAACAAAAAAGAAAGAGAGAGTCAGACAGACAGGGAGAGAGAAGAGAGGAAGGCAGGGAGGGAGGGAGGGGCTAGCAGATATGTGCCTCCCCTCACACAGGCTGCTTAGGCGCAGTCCCTGAAGCCCTGACTGTTAACCCCTGGCCTCGGGCCAGCATGGGCTTGGATTCTAAGTCATCAAACTGCTCAGTGTGTTGTGAGCAGGGGTGCACTGCGGAAGTACCCAATGAAGGCCATTTTGAGCAGAGCTAGTTCTACGGAGAACCAACGCATCCACATCTAGGTCACCCATGACAAACTGTTCTCAGAGCCACCTCTGAGTGCTCTGAGAAAAACATGCCATTCTTCTCAATGTCCCCAAACTTCCTGGGGTGCAGGCGGCCAGGCATACTTCCTGAGCCTTCCATGCACGCCACCAGAAGTGTCTGCCAGTGGATTCACATTCTTACCACAGGCAATTTCCGGGCTAAGTTTTTAAAGGATCCAAACAAAATATCAGCCACTATTAACTTTCACTCTGTTAATTGAGTTCAAGTTCTCCAAAATGTGTCAGAAATCCACAGAAAATACAGTATTTATATTTTAAGTAAATACAGTTAAGGGGCTACATTTTGTTAAAATAAATGATTAAAGTATAAACATTTCCTATTGTTATTCATTCTTGAAAAACACAAAAATAGAGAGAAATGTTCATCTGCTTTCCTAAGCTTCCTCTCTGGAACACTGAGCTCGTGGGTTCAAGTCAAACACTGCAGTCAGCGGCCTGGAAACATCATTTGGCTACAGACGAACGCAGCAGCGAAAGTGGTAAAGCATAAGCTATAAACCACGCTTTGAGGCTCCCAGAAAGGGTTAACTAAGAAAGTTTCTTTCAAACAATATTTTTGTCTTTAGTTGACTGTGTCAGTTATGGAGAGGAACTCGGTCCCTGATATCTTTGCTAGAAGCAGGTGGTAAAGGGCAGTGAAAAGAGAAGCTATGAATGTGTGCATGCAATCGCACACACATACCTATATATGTGCTTATATAGGCCAATTCATCTGCCACATTTACAAATTCAAATTCAAATGAAGCTTAAAAAATAAAATTTGCTACATGGAAACGTTCTTTCAAAAATTTAGTTTGCTTGAGTCTCGACATTGATATATTCCATCAACCCAGGAGTCTTATTACAGTGCCATCAGAAATTTTTACCTAAATCCATATCATTTCTCTCATGAAAGAAAGAAAAAGAGCTGGTTTTCACACCAAGTTTACAAACTTCATAAAGGTTATGAACTGTAAACATCTCTCCTCGGGGTTTTTACAGTTTAGTGGCTATGAACGGAAGCTTCGTAATCATGATTTATGGATGCACAGACACCAGTCCCAGAGCTGTAAACTGCATGGCCCTGTCCGATTCCTCATTCCTGGCAGACCTGCCCCCCACTGCCCTAACCGGGAACACCCAGCAGTCGCCACCCTTATCTTGGGTCCCAAGGCACTGGCTACCTGAGGCAAATGATACTTCCTTTGCGTTATTAGCTTTTCAGACAGTGCCAGCCTAACCGCCTGTGTGTTTAGAAATTCAAATCAGCTTCAAAACTTGTCAGAGCCACTGAGCTATCATCTCATGTTTGGGGGGCAAACTAGGCTCCAAAGCCCATTTCATTATTAATAAAAGTAAAGGAGAGGGAGAGTAAATAAAAGCTCGAACGGGGAAAATCCGGTCAGAGCCCAATTCTTTACCTGCGTGCGAAAGACTTTCATTTCTTTCCCAGGCAGCGTGATCTTTCGGGGATGAGAAGAGCCGACTATGGATCTGGAAGATAAACAGAAACCTTCCCAATCTCATATTTTTATTTGCCAGGTGTATAATCTTCAATAATGTATATTATTATATTTTAAAAAATCAAGCAACATTCCTAGCATCCCTCCACTCTCCCTAGAGCTGCAGATGGTAATGAATACGTCCTCCATGCTCTCCCAGGCAAACCAGTAAATAAAGGGTAGGTTTCTGATGATTTCAAACACACAAGGAACGTCCGGAGGGGGTAGTCAGCGAGCATGGATGCTGCTAGGAGATCAAAGAACCACAGCTAATATTTCTTCTCTATCCCATCACAATGCTGAATGAATGCTGAGCAAAAATTGGGCATTTGATAACTATTGATAAATTGATTAAACACGAGCAATCAAATTTCGGAACTAGCCTTCAAGACCCAGTGAAAATAAGATTAATACACAAAAGTCTTCTGCTATCTGCAAGTTTGGTTATGATGCTGACTTTCTCTGCCGAAAGGTGAAGGTATGTTTTGTTAGTCTATTCTGAAAGCATTTCGCTGTGGGTGGGAGTTTTGGCTCTGATTGATAAACTTAGACGCCAGAGCAGCTCATGCCACACTGGGTCTGTCCCCATGTCCGTCGTCCCCCTGACACCCCATGGCCTCACCCCAAAGCTGAAGAATAACTCTTCTGCCCCCTTGCATTGCAATCTTAGGGTGATTTGAAGAGGTAACACATTCATGGAGCTCCAGCCAGCCTCTAATGCTGAACCCCAGTTAACTCCTTAGTTCTGGGGCTGAGTTAAGCTTTTTGGTGTTCAGGTCCCATTTTTGGCCTCCTCTCAGCCCCCAGCATCCAGGCAACCAGGTTGGGGGTTACAGAGGGGAAGTGCACGCAAACCATTCTTCTATCCCAAGCAGGAGTCTGGCCCCCCAGACCCCACGGCAGAGGAGAAAGAATGAGGAAAGGCTTCGGACTGCGGCTGGGCTGAGGCTGAGAGAATAAAAGTTAGACAGCTGGTCCTGCCACCCTCTGGGCTCTGTACCCTGGGCCTAACTCAGCCATTGTCTATCAGTAACACGATTATTAATTATAACAATCACAAGAACTGATGACAATTAATGAGATTTCATATGGGCGGTTATTGTATAGCGTGTTCCAAACATCATCTCATGATATTCTCACAACTGTCAGAAAGACACGCTTTCAGCCCTGCTGCAGTAGCTGAAACAGCCTAAGCTGAGGTTGCCCGTGCCTGTGGGGTGTGACACAGCCAGGGTTCAGACCAGGGTGGTCAGACCCGAGGCGCCTGAGCTTTCAGCCAGTGTGTTGCCCACATCGTTACTATCACTGCTACTAAGTACCAGTATTTGGCTATTGGACCGTATACAGGCATCAGACTGATACACATCCCTTTCTCAGACTTGGTACAGACATGTCATAGCAAGTACTGGAGAGCATGCGAAAACTTTTCAGGAAGGAAAGAGAAGAACAGCAATGGTCAACGTGCAAGTGGGAAACAATTAAGATCCCAACTTCATAGAAAAAATGAGTTATCTCTCCGCTGCTCCAAACATAAGCAAGCAGATGGATCTGAAAGCTGTGTGTGTGAGTGCGTATGTGTGTGTGTGTGTGTGTGTGTCTGTGTGTGTGTGAGTGTGCATGTGTGTGTGTCTGTGTCTGTGTGTGCATGTACGTGTGTATGTGTGTGTAAGTGTGTGTCTGTGTATGTGTGTGAGTGTGCGTGTGTGAGTGTGCATGTGTGAGTGTGCACGTGTGTGTGTGTGTGCATGTGCGTGTGCATGTTGTGTGTAGGGTGAGGGGAGGGGGTTGCAGGGAAGAGTCTTACCTAGCAGAGATTTTAAGCTTTCTCTCTCCTGGGTTGTTGTTCTGTATGGCTCTTTTAAGAATGATTTTTTTGTGTAATTTCTAAATTAACTCTATCCAGTCGAGTGAGTCAGTTAACCTGGGACTTGACAGCACAGAGTTACTTCTTACCCAGCAAGCTCTGGAAGCACCATGACCCCTTAGGGAGGGCCCAGCCCCAGCCCCACCAGGAAGTAACAAACACTGAAGTGCACTGGTTCCGACTTCTCTCTCTCTGGGATCCGAGTGGTTGGGAGTGGATGACAAATTGACTAGGCCCCACTGACGTCTCCAACAGCCTGGGGCCATCCTGCACAGGCTCTGGGCACTACTGACCCAAGAAATCCCGACAACAGGGTGATTGGGGATCTCTGTCATCAACCGCCCCAGGTCTCAATCCCATCTCAAGCGACATCCTGCAAAGACTTGGCTTTGGCTCTACTTTCTGCTGGGTGCTCATGTGATCTCTTCATGCAAAAGAGTGACACTTTTCATCGCCCTTAGGACAAGCAGCGAAGGCCCTGGGTCTGCACCTGCTAATCTCGGGGGCATCACTGGGTGCGTCTCTCTGGGCCACACACTCTGTGTGAGCACCTCTCCGCCTCTTGAATTCACAGATTCGCCCCACCACTGGGCCTTTGCACATGCTGTTCCATCTGCACAGCATGCTGTTCCCCTAGTCCACCTCCAGATCTCAGTTCGAAGGACCTGCTCAGGTGAGTGTCTCTCCAGACACCACTCTGAAAACCAGTTCAGGGTTTGGATTTCTAAGCTTCGACAGAAACATTCCTTTCCCTCCAGAGCACTCCACTCACCTGGGTTTGTAGATGTGCACTGACCTGTGTGAATCTGCAATAATAATGTCTACTTCTCCCCTAGATGCTAACTCCCCTGAGAAGAAAATCATTTCTGCCTTGCTTGCCCATGGACAAGGGCTGGACACATCCCAGGCTTTCAATACACATTTGTTGAACACAAAAGGGATGGAAGAATTAATAAATTCATTCATTCATTTGTTAATGAAAACTAAGCTTCTCATCTGGGGTAAATTGTGCACGTGCTCTTGGAATCCACACTCGTGTCTCCTCGGAGAACTTGGACAGTCATGGACCTCCGTTCTTCCCTCAGTCTTCAACTTTGCCCTCCTCAGCATTTTAACCACATCCAAACCTCTAACATAAAAATAAAACCAAAAGCTCCCTTCCCCACACATGTTACCTTCCTCCCTTTCACTTAACTCTCAGCAGGTCTTGAAGGAGACGGCTTCTCTCTCTGTCCCTCTCCCTCACCCCCCACTCAGCTCTCCCTTTCCCACAGTCTGGATGGAGCCACTGTGATCCCTGGCGCTCACATTCCCACCATGCTCTCCAGCGGCCACCCAGCTGCCACCTCCAGGGGCTGTGTTCTGTCCACAACTCCTGTTGGCCGCACTCCCTAACCATTTCTCCATCCCATCTCCACCTCCCCAACCATCTCTCCATCCCACCTCCACCTCCCCAACCATCTCTCCATCCCACCTCCATCTCCCCAACCATCTCTCCATCCCACCTCCGCCTCCCCAACCATCTCTCCATCCCACCTCCGCCTCTCTAACCATCTCTCCATCCCACCTCCGCCTCTCTAAGCATCTCTCCATCCCACCTCCGCCTCCCCAACCATCCCTCCATCCCACCTCCGCCTCTCTAACCATCTCTCCATCCCACCTCCGCCTCCTCAACCATCCCTCCATCCCACCTCTGCATGGGCGGCCTTGAATGCTATGCTAAGTGACGGGAAGATGTGGCGATGGATGAACAAGAGCAGATGCCTTATGCTCAGTTACGTGCTAAAGCTTTGTCCCGACCCAGGTTCAGTTAGTCTGGTCTCAAGAGCCTTTACTCAGGAGCTGAAATCATCATCGTCTCTGGGAGAGGCAATGCTTCACAACTATGCTTTTTACTAAGTCTAGCATGTGACATACATTTGTTCTTTTCATCTTTTATTGTGGTAAAACATACAGAACGTAAAATGTACTACTGTAACCATTTTTAAGTGAACCGTTCAGTGGTGTTAAATAGATTCACCCATAAAGTTGTACATCACCACCATCTATCTCCATCATTGTTTTCGTTTTATAAAACTGAGACTCTATACCCATTAAACAATAACTGCCCCTCATTCTCCATCCCCCAGCTTGTGGCAACGAGCACTCTGCTCTGTCATTTTGATTACTATAGGTGCCCCATATAAATGTAGTCATGCAGTATTTGTCCCTTGTGGCTGGCTTATCACTTAACATAGCATCCTCAGGGTCCATCCACATTGGACCCTATGTCAGCATTTCCTTCCTTCTTAAGACTGAATAACAGTCTATTGCGTGTATAAACCACATTTTGCTTATTCACTCATCCATTGATACACACACTTGATTGCATCCATGTTTTAGCTGCTGTGAATAATGCTGCTATGAACATGGGTGTTCAACTCTCTTTAAGACCTGCCTTCAATTCTTAGGGGTAGAGACCCAGAAGTGGAGTTGCTAGATCTTTTATTTTTTGAGGAATTTCCATACTGTTTTCCACAGAGGCTGCACCATTTTTCATTTTCACCAACAGTAGACAAGTGTTTCAATTTCTCCACATTCACACCAACAATTGTTATTTTCTGTTTATTGATAGCAGCCATTCTAATAGGTGTGAAATGGCATCTCCTTGTGGTTTTGATTTGCATTTCCCTGATGATTAGTGAGGTTGGGCATCTTTCCATGTGCCTGTTCACCCTTTGTTAATCTTCTTTGGAGAAATGTGTATTCAAGCCCTTTGCCCATTTTTTAATTTATTTATTTATTCTTGAGTTTTAGGAGTTTTGTCTATATTCTGGATATTAATTCGTTATCAGATATATGATTTACAAATATTTTCTCTCATTTGGTGGGTTGCCTTTTTACTATGTTGATATTATCTTTCTATGCACACAATTTTTTAATTTTCATAAAGTCCAGTTTATTTTTTCTTTTGTTGCCTGTGCCTTTGGTGTCATATACAAGAAATCACAGGCAAATTCAATTTGTGAAGCTTTTGCCCTGTGTTTTCTTCTAATAGTTTTACAGCTTTAGGTCTTACATTTAGGTCTTTGGTCCATTTTGAGTTAATTTTTTTATATGGTTTTAGATAACGATCCAACTTCATTCTC